TGACCACTTTTGCAGCATATTTGCGACTTTGTTATTTGTTTTTTTTCCAATGTTTCATGCCAGTTAATTATTTGACATACTCATTAAGCTTCAATGACTTCAACAATTTATAGGTTATTTGGATTATGCCAGTTTGCTGTTTTTTGTAAGTTTTTAAAAAGCCAGTTTTTAATTTAAAAATAAGTAAAAACAGTTCTTTGTCAATATGTATCGGCATTTATCAGTTTTTGCAAGTGTAATGAAGTGTTACAAGGAATTTTGGAGAGCTGAAAAGATTGAAAATTAAAAAAACACTACATGGTGAATAGATGACGGATGGACATCAGGAAAAATCTACATTTTTCGAGTTGTTTACTTTTTTAATGAAGATTCATGAACGTAGTGAAGACTCTTCTAAAGGTCGTTATGATTTTTTTATTCAAGAAAAAAAATCGTTTGTTCACACTCAAATTTGTTTTTTTGCGGTTTGGCTTTTGATATCTTTTTTTTATTTAAGTTCATTTCCTTTGCTTAAATGGAAGGCAAACTCCACTATCGAACAGCAAAAGCACAAAATTCATGAAAAATGTGATCGAATTCTAGTATCGAAAAGTGTTATCAAGCATAAAAATTTAGCTACTAATCAGTTTCTCTAATTGAGTTAATCTTATCGAAAAATTGTCGATCATTAATTGTTCGTGAAATTCAAAGGGCTCCAAGACTAAATAAGTCTTCCCAAGTTTTGCCAAGAAAGAAGTCAGTTTTTTTGTTTGCTTGCGTTTCCCGACTCTTCCAATCTGTCCAAGTATTATTGGCTAAGTGGCCGCTAGGTAAATGAAACTTAAAGCTTATTTAAAGATGACTTTTTTCGACTTGTGATTTCCGCCTCATTTTCTATTCTCTTGCTTGCAATGCTAAGCTTGCTTCATATCGCAAGTGGTTAGAAGATCTGCTTCGCTTCTGTGTCAACATGATTTTTGCACTCCTGTTTATCAGTGTTAATTTGTTACAGATTTTGTCTTTGCCTGAAGTAAATGGCGAGAGATTGTCGATCGCATATATTCCAATCATACTTTTAAAAAATACAGTCAAATGTTTTCATGTTTTTTTTCTTCAAATTAGTGTTGTTGTTTGTGCGTGGCGTGAAAGGATCAGGAAAAAAACCTAAAATTTAAACATGCTCAACAATCACAGTAATTTAGGCAAATATAGCAACAATTTTTGTCGAAGAATAACCATAAAAAAACGTTTCTAAGAATATTTTTTATGTTTTTAAAACAAATTGGTTAATTTTTGAAGTTTTTTAATGAAAACTGGCGTTGAAAAAACCATACTTCTAGAGTGAGCCTGCTCGCTTGCTTTACTTGCTCGAAATTAGATTACAACTTGAAATTTTCAAACCGATTTTTGTCGACACTGGGATATTTAAAAAAAAAGCTTTTTTATGTTCGAATCCGGACTGCTGAAAGGACTAAATTATGATAAATCACTCTACTCATTACGATGATTATTTGTAGTTAAATATTTTGGTTGAAAAAGAAATTCAGCCTCCTCGCTTACCTACTTCGCTCGAAATGAGACCAAAGATTTAAAATTTCGAACGGATTTTTCTCGACAATGAATAAAAAAGTTTTATTGTCGTTTGAATAAAGACTGAAAGTGCTTCAATATGATCGACCCGTTCCGATGTTTATTTGTGGCACCTGGTTAAGAGAGAAAATAAAAGAAAAAACTAAAACACTTCAATGATCGGAACAAGAAGCAAAGTGCTACAATTCGTAAAGTGCGGGAAAATCTAGCAATCGGTTGCAATAACATTTTCTTTTGCGTGTATAATAATTTTGATCGATAATTATGAAGTCAATTCATAGGGGCCGAATAGACTTTTTCTATCGGCGTGAATGAGATTAAGCCCAGTTCTTTCGATCTCTTTGGAGACAGTTTCGGCTGTTTTTTTTATATTTCCACAAGCTCTCAATGGTAATGCAGTCAAAGAGATGGTCGGTGGTATGTCAACCAAGGAAGAATTTAGGCTTACTTCGGTGACCTTTTTGCTTTAAATTTGATGAAGGTAGCTGTTCAGTTGGGCTTAGTACCAAGATCGGAGTTGTCAGAATGTGTATCAAATTTTCCAGTTATGGTTGCATTAATTGAATGCTATTGTTGGTGGTATTCTCCCTAACAGCTTAAATTTTTCTTTAAATTTTATACTTGTTGGTTTAAAAGCTCTCAATCTCCAAAACTTATACATGCTCAGAGATGCTCTCCTGCCTTTCGGCAAGCAAGTGTTTTGTGTAAGCTTCCGATTTTACGGTTCTTCTCTTCGGAATTAACAGTGTGTTGATGGGCTCTGTTTTCTGGATGAAAAATGAGAAGAAACTGCTTAGATAGCATTTCAATGTTTCTAACGATAGTTGGATTTTTCGTTTCCAAGCAGTCAGTTGTTTTGGCTTCAGGTGACAAAAGTTTTACCAAAAATAACATATCTAACCTAAAATTTTTCTAAATATCGATGAAAAGTTAAATCGCTGAGGGTAAAAAATTTTATCGTTGAAAAATACTTGCCTTTCGAGGTGAATATCTTCGTCGTTATACCTTTTCATGAAGCTTCTTTTGCTCTAAATGCTTTTTTTACACGGTCGTAGCGTTGTGTGATAGTACGATGCAACTTTTTTTCCAACCTAGGTAGCAAATGAAAGTGCCACTTTTGGTTTAATACATTCTAATTTACTACCTTGCAAAGCAAATATGTTTGCCAATTGAGTTTTTGTGCATTTTAAAGCTTTTGTATATCGCTCGCTGCCGCTTTCTAGCTCGTGTATGCGAAGCGCAGATTCATTTTGTGTTAAAATTGATTGGACTGTGTTAACACATTTGGTGTTGGGGACTAAAAGGTGAATTTTTTCCAGCTTTCAAATGTTTGTTTTTAATTTTTAGGTCGGCTAAATAGTTTTCTGATGATCTGTCATCTGCTTTGATCTCTCTTGTTGCTTGAGGAGAATTTAACAAAAGTTTTTAAGTCTAAATTCATACCGACAGCGAAAGTTTTTTTTATGAATTTAACATAAAACGTAGTTTCTTTACTACGTTTATGACAAAGGCATATTTGCTTTCAACGTTGACGTTTCAAATCTGACAGTTTTTGTGATGACAAATTTTATTAGTTGTTGTTTCTTTTTCGCTGTCGACGAGTAACAAGTTTTTTTGACTTGAAGCCTGCCTGTACAAGTGGAACTCAGACTGTTTTTTGATGTTTGTAGGTCAGTTTGACTACTCAGTTTTGCTTCTCAGATTTATATGGGAAGAAATAGAAGAATTTGACGGGGATCCTGGTGTTTTAAATGGATTTTTCAACCTTGACGTATTTGAGCTCATATTGGAAAGTAATTGTTCCTACTATTAAAATTGGCCACTTTTTTAATGGTCGCATAGCAGGAACAACTGCGGTACTTGACATCAACTTTGTATTCGGGTGTGTCGGGTGTGTTTCAGTTTTTTTTCGCTTTCTTTTGTTTTCCACGCAAAATCAGGTACCACACATAATCATAGGACTGAGTTGAGTGATATATTATTTTAAAGCCCTTTCAGTTGTGATTCGAGCGACATTAATTTATTTCCTAAAAGTTTACCCTGTCCGGTTTGAAATTTCAGATTATTTTGTCCATTTTCGAGCAAGTAAAGTGATCGAGTAACGATCGTCATATGAAAATTTACTTTTATTTAGACCTTTAGGCTAAAGACTTTAACCTTTGTTTTAGAAAAAACAATAGTTATGGATGTAAAATTTTGTGATTTGTTGCCAACAAAAGCTTTCTAAAAAAAAATTAAAATTTTTGTGCAAAATTTTTTTTAATTTTTCTATATTATCTTTATTATTTGTCATTTTTAGAAGACAATTATTTTCGATTATGTCTTGGTCATTAAGTATCTGCGCGTTTGTATAATTCTCAAATCGCAGCCCGCGCTAAAAACGACACTAATGTTCAGAAAAAAAAATCGTTTTTTTTTATTTTAAGTTTTTCTTTTAATATGGTCGGAACATTCTGTGCTACTTGACAGCAGCCGCCTGTCCTTGTTAGTTTTTGTTTTTTTTCCAATGGCGTATTTACTGATTAAATTCTCCTATTTGTTGGCATGATTTAAAACTTTACTAAAACAGGATTAATCAAATTTTTAACTGTTGATTGCATTTTGTCGAATTTAACCATCTGAATCTCAAGTAGTCAATTGGTAGGCTATAGTTATTGGTACCTCGGTAATTGAAATTTTACCATAACCTAGAGTATGTTCAAATGTTGTCCAAATTTGCTTGATTATCTTATTCCTTTTTACTTTGACTTATGCATCACGATGTGGTGCGATATGTTTCATGTACTTTTTGTTCCGACCGTACTTTTTGTTAGTGGAAAGGAACTATGACGTAGGGCGTGTATTGTTCCACCCGATTTGAATTGCCTACAAGAAAGCCCGTCGGGTGCAATTGTGTTTTCTTATTTAAGTCGTAGTGGCCCTTATTCGAATTCCGAAAAAAATTATAAGTTCTGCCCGATTTTTCATGCTCTCAGCGGATGATTTCTCTATGAACACTTTCTACGATAAATAGCATTTCTACGATGGTATCTTATCAAGTTGCACAAACTAAATAGTTGAGTAATAATTTAAAAGCCTATTTTAATCTGCGGTTTTATCGGCTGCACTTAAATTCTTTTCAAAAATATCCCAAAAAGTCTAAACGTTTTTTTTTTGCTATTTTAACGGTGGTCTGAAAATTCTGTGCTGCTTGCACAGCGAGCGGCAACTCTTGTTGAAATTTGCCTCTGGAAAATTAGGGGTTTTACCTGGGCTGGCAGTGGTGTTTGGTTTTGTTCGATTCTTTTTAACTACAAACTTACTTACGAACTACAATGTTTTCAATTACTCAGTTGTTTAAGTTGTTTATCGAGTTTATTAGGGTTTTCAATTCATCAGAATTCGTTCTTTTGAGTCTCAATATGACTCATAATATTCGGTTAACGTTTTAGAATCGGGAACTAGCAATCATGAGAGTGCTTGACCATTGCAACATTGTGAAACTCCTCTATTTCTTCTACTCACAAGGAGAAAAGGTAAGATCGTCAAATTCGCAAATAAAAGCAGAAACTTTCAAAACTGATGAATTGTACTGGACGGCATTAAGAACATTTGTTCTAGAAGGATGACGTGTACCTGAACTTAGTGTTAGAATTCATTCCGGAAACTGTCTACCGAGTGTCGCGTAATTACAGCAAAAACAAGAAGACACTTCCCGTATTTGATACCAAGGTAACTTAACTAGTTTTTTTTAAATATAATTATCAACTCTGTACGAACATTCGATACTCAGAGAGCTTGTGTATGATGGAAATCCCTACCGTCAAAAGGACGGACAATTCTAAAATTACAAATCGAATCAGTATTGAATTTTGAAACTCGGACGGTGTTGTTGGATTGCTTGTTCTCTTTTTTCAGCTCTACATGTATCAGCTGTTCCGCAGTCTGCATTGCATCCATTCCCAGCACATTTGCCACAGAGACATCAAACCTCAGAATCTACTGCTTAACACACACACTGGAGTGCTCAAACTGTGCGACTTCGGAAGGTCAGTCTAGTAACTACTAGATAAACATCCAATTAGTTATCGATAACATCCTTCTCACTAGATCGACCAAGTTAAGATCCCCTACTCTCAACTATTAAATTTTATTACACTAGCAAGCTTGCGAAACATAGTGTATTAGTACGAACCTGATTTTTTTCAACCTAACTCGCATATATAAGTGTTCATTTGGTGACACTTTTGGTATAATCACAATCTGTAGCATTCGAAATTTCATAGCATATTTTTTGCTCTATTTGTGACTAGTGTTTGTGATTTAGTTACCGTCCGTGGCTGAGAGGTTAGTGCGTGAGACTCATAATCTCTAGTTCGCAGATACAATCCGAGGCGTAGCCGAATTTTTACTAATTCGAGGCTTATTTCTACTTTTTTATTGCTCTTTATAGAGCTGTTTTTTGTCGTGTTCTCACGCTAGTGTTTACAAAGCGAAGCTTGGCCTCTGTGTTAAAATGTTCGGTATTGATCGGCTGAAAAATTCAACTTAAAACCAACCTAACTTCCCCCTCTTCCCCCTAAAACATTTCATGGGGGAAGTTGCTAACTTGTTCCTAAGCATAAATGTAATTTATTGTTACTTTTGTGATTAGCAAGCGTTGTCATTTAAGTTTTATTTAATTTAACATTTTGCAAACAAAATTACTTGAAACTTTTGTCACTATGTGATTGTATAAAAAACATATTTTGACATAAAGACATATTTTGAACATGTCTTAATTTTAAAAACCCTTTTAAGAGTAATGAACGTAGAGAAGACTCTTATATAGGTCTTGTTGCATTTTTTTTCAGGAAAAAGTCTTAAAATATTAATGCACTTAGGTGAAGGTATATGTGCACTTTCCGAGCTCAATTGAAGTTCATCTGCTGAAAGTGACCTAAGTAGCACTCTCCAAGTACGAACGTGTAAATGGCGCAATAAACGTGAACGATTTCTAGTCTCGAAAATGGGTTTCAAGTTGGGTTAATGTTATCAAAAAGCGCCAACCATAAATCGTTATAGAAATTCAAAGAGCTTAAAGGGTATCTAATTTTTACTTTGAAATCCTAAAGTTCAGATTTTTTCATTTTTTATGTTTACTTGATTGAGTTCATTACTCTTTTCCAATCTTTGATTGCCAATGTTTTATTCTGATTATTTTGTCGACAACATTTTTTGAGCATGTCTGCATTTTAAAAACCCTTTTTGTTATGATGACTTTTTTGTGATTTGGTCGACAACGGACATTTTTTGAGATGTTCCGCATTTTATAAACCCTTTTTTATTCTTATGATTTTCTTGTGATTTTGTCGACAATGTACATTTTTTTGAGATTGTCTGCATTTTAAAAACTCTTTTTTTCTGATGATTTTGTCGACAACGGACATTTCTGAGCATGTCTGTATTTTAAAAACCCTTTTTATTCTGATAATTTTTGTGTTTTTTAATGACAACGGACAAATTTTGAGCATGTCTGAATTTTAAGAACTCTTTTTGTTCTGATGATTTTTGTGTTTTTTAATGACAACGGACAAATTTTGAGCATGTCTGAATTTTAAGAACTCTTTTTGTTCTGATGATTTTCTTGTGATTTTGTCGACAAAGGACAAATTTTGAGCATGTCTGCATTTTAAAAACTTTTTCATTCTGATGATTTTGTTCTGATTTTTTCGATAACGGACATATTTGAACATGCCTGCATTTAAAAAACCCTTTTTATTTGGGTGATTTTGTCGACAACAGCTATGGTTTGAGCATGTATGATTTTTAAATATATTTCTTTTTGTTTTGATATTGTTTGTAAATATACCGACTCCGTGTGTCTTCACGAGTAGTAAATTGTTAGATGGTAATATTTTTTCGGCTCAAGTGTTGCCCTCACAGTTAAAGCTGCTTTAATTTTTTGATGCTAATTCAACACTGGCAGTTGTCTTCATCAGCATGTTTTCCTCAAAATTAACATTCGGAAACCGAGACAAACGTTAGAAAATTATTAGAGTCTTTTTTCGACATCTTGCAAGCGTTTTTCTATTTCGATTTAATTCTTTATGCCGGCTAGCTTGCCATAATATATTGACGTTGTATCTCAAGTGGCGCGAAGCTCCTCGTCCGTGAGTAATAACTATCAATCAACGCCATAATCAATGTGAAAATATGTAGCAATGCCGAAATAAGAATGAGTGACCTAAAAAGCTGTTCATATCTTCGCGGCTTTCTTTTGTTAGAGCATTTTAGTGGAATAAAATCATGTTTTTAATATGTGCTTTCCACTAGAAGTATTAGCCTCATGCTCGACTTCGCAAGTTAAGAAAATGGAGGCTGGAACAATCAATAGTGTCGTGAATTTTAATTGTCTAAATTGAAAACACAGTCGGCCATATCATGGATAACATATCATGTTGGTCTCATTTAAAGGCTTGAACAATTTTCTTCGTAATGATCTAACAAGCACATATAACGCTCTTTGGCTAGTTGATGAGGGTTTGTGATGTAGTTCAACTTGGGCGAACTATGACGGGGTAATTGATTAATTTTTCTTTTGCTTCAGTGCTAAGAAGCTCACGAGAGGAGAACCCAATGTGTCGTACATCTGTTCACGCTACTACAGAGCACCCGAACTCATTTTTGGAGCCACAGATTACTCATGTAGCATCGGTTTGTTCAAAAGAGTTATTCTTACATCTACAGTTTCTACTATAATCATTGGCCGTTTGTTGGAGTAAGAGCCGTATCTCTTTATCTGGTTAAAAAGAAGTGTTTCATTTGAGATAAGGCTTGTTTTATTTGAGAGTATGTTTAATTTAAAATATTGACAGATGATGTTGTTGACAGAAAATGGATCTATATCAACAATAAACTTGACCTCAAAACAAACTTCGAGACCTTGATGATGATACTTTCTTGTTGTTTTTGAGGTGGAGTGAGTTAATTAAGTTGATAAATCCAAAGAGTCAAGTTCTTTTTAAATGAAAATTTTGTAATTTAAATTAAGCGCAGCTTTATTTACTTTGTTTTATAAATTCATGAAAAAAATGCGTCTTTTAACCGAGGTTTTCTCTGAATCGGGGAGGCTCTCATTCGAGAAATGCAAAATGGGTACGTGTAAAATGGTTCAGATTCATTGCCATCTTGGCTATTGAGTGGGATATATTCCATGATCCTGCAAAGTCTTGCAAACAGGGTAACTTGAGATGATCTGACATGATCATTGATATATTTCACAGATTGAAGGCATAATGCCTTTTTTTCTGGTTTATTGGTTTTTGTGAAAACTAGCATTGAGAAAAAAGGCAGAAAATCTGCGCTGATTTGCTCGTGTATAAAAAATATAGGTTGACGTTTATCTGTCATGCGTTAAAAAGTTGAGTTCGGCAAGTCATTCTTGTTTTCTTATCTTTGTTTTACTTAATGGATGGTAATAGACTGAGTTTCGGGACACTGTTAATGCCGTTGAACTTCTTGAGTACATAAAAAGTTACAGAAAACTACTCTTTGCAATAATATCTTTGCTTGAAGAAGTTCCACTCATAAAAAAATTGCTGAAAAGATGCTCCAACCGCAATTCATTGAATGAGCACCTTAAACGTTTTTCGAAGTTATGGTAAATCTCAGATTTGATACAGTATGTATACTAATTAGATAGCGATTTTGAAGTTTTTTTTATCTGAAGGGGGGATGAATTGTGTAATCTACAAGTAAATCTATAAAGGACACAAAAGCGAAGCGGAAATTCACAACACTTGCGATAAAACGAAACATAAAAATGCAAGCTAGGGAATAGAAAATAATTCGTAAACCTGCAGTTAGAAAAATATCTAGGTTAAAAACGGGGACTATTCTCATGGGCGATAGACTATACTACTAGTGTTTTAGTACGAACCTTATTTTTTTCTAACCAAACTAATTGTTCATTAAAATTTTTTAGTTGAGCCTTTTTTGCTATAATCACGATCTGTAGCATAAGTTTCATAGCATCTGTTCTCTGCTTTTTTGTGGCAAGTGTTTGTGATGTATTAAGCATGCGTGGCTGAGTGGTTAGCGCGTGAGACTCAAAATATCTAGGTCTCAGTAGGTCTTAGTTTCGAGTCGAGATGTCGCCGAGTTTACACTGCTTGGAACTTGGCTACTACAGAGCACCCGAACTCATTTTTGGAGCCACAGATTACTCATGTAGCATTGGTTAGTTCAAAAGAGTTATTCTTACATCTACAGTTTCTACTATAATCATTGGCCGTTTGTTGGAGTAAGAGCCGTATCTCTTTATCTGGTTAAAAAGTTTTTTTTATCTGAAGGGGGGATGAATTGTGTAATCTACAAGTAAATCTATAAAGGACACAAAAGCGAAGCGGAAATTCACAACACTTGCGATAAAACGAAACATAAAAATGCAAGCTAGGGAATAGAAAATAATTCGTAAACCTGCAGTTAGAAAAATATCTAGGTTAAAAACGGGGACTATTCTCATGGGCGATAGACTATACTACTAGTGTTTTAGTACGAACCTTATTTTTTTCTAACCAAACTAATTGTTCATTAAAATTTTTTAGTTGAGCCTTTTTTGCTATAATCACGATCTGTAGCATAAGTTTCATAGCATCTGTTCTCTGCTTTTTTGTGGCAAGTGTTTGTGATGTATTAAGCATGCGTGGCTGAGTGGTTAGCGCGTGAGACTCAAAATATCTAGGTCTCAGTAGGTCTTAGTTTCGAGTCGAGATGTCGCCGAGTTTACACTGCTTGGAACTTGGCTACTACAGAGCACCCGAACTCATTTTTGGAGCCACAGATTACTCATGTAGCATTGGTTAGTTCAAAAGAGTTATTCTTACATCTACAGTTTCTACTATAATCATTGGCCGTTTGTTGGAGTAAGAGCCGTATCTCTTTATCTGGTTAAAAAGTTTTTTTTATCTGAAGGGGGGATGAATTGTGTAATCTACAAGTAAATCTATAAAGGACACAAAAGCGAAGCGGAAATTCACAACACTTGCGATAAAACGAAACATAAAAATGCAAGCTAGGGAATAGAAAATAATTCGTAAACCTGCAGTTAGAAAAATATCTAGGTTAAAAACGGGGACTATTCTCATGGGCGATAGACTATACTACTAGTGTTTTAGTACGAACCTTATTTTTTTCTAACCAAACTAATTGTTCATTAAAATTTTTTAGTTGAGCCTTTTTTGCTATAATCACGATCTGTAGCATAAGTTTCATAGCATCTGTTCTCTGCTTTTTTGTGGCAAGTGTTTGTGATGTATTAAGCATGCGTGGCTGAGTGGTTAGCGTGTGAGACTCAAAATATCTAGGTCTCAGTAGGTCTTAGTTTCGAGTCGAGATGTCGCCGAGTTTACACTGCTTGGAACTTGGCTACTACAGAGCACCCGAACTCATTTTTGGAGCCACAGATTACTCATGTAGCATTGGTTAGTTCAAAAGAGTTATTCTTACATCTACAGTTTCTACTATAATCATTGGCCGTTTGTTGGAGTAAGAGCCGTATCTCTTTATCTGGTTAAAAAGTTTTTTTTATCTGAAGGGGGGATGAATTGTGTAATCTACAAGTAAATCTATAAAGGACACAAAAGCGAAGCGGAAATTCACAACACTTGCGATAAAACGAAACATAAAAATGCAAGCTAGGGAATAGAAAATAATTCGTAAACCTGCAGTTACAAAAAATATCTAGGTTAAAAACGGGGACTATTCTCATGGGCGATAGACTATACTACTAGTGTTTTAGTACGAACCTTATTTTTTTCTAACCAAACTAATTGTTCATTAAAATTTTTTAGTTGAGCCTTTTTTGCTATAATCACGATCTGTAGCATAAGTTTAATAGCATCTGTTCTCTGCTTTTTTTGTGGCAAGTGTTTGTGATGTATTAAGCATGCGTGGCTGAGTGGTTAGCGCGTGAGACTCAAAATATCTAGGTCTCAGTAGGTCTTAGTTTCGAGTCGAGATGTCGCCGAGTTTACACTTGCTTGGAACTTGGCTTATTTTTACTTTTTCCTATTGCAATCTGTAGAACTCTAGAGCTGCTTTTTGCCTTGTTCTCGCTAGTGTTTGCGAAGCTCAGCTGAGCTTCTGTGCTTAAATTTTCAGCTGAAATTTTCAAATTTAAAATTTTGTTTTTGCCAGGGAAGTGCCAAATAAAGCTTCCAAAAATTAGTTTTCTTTTTGAAAAAATTAGTTTTGCTTAGGTAAATGGTCAATTTAACAAGTTTTCATTACTTCGGTTGCAAAATTAGACAAAAAACCAAATATTTCAAGCCAGTTTTTCTCGACACTGGGTATTTTTTTGAAAATTTATACTGTCGTTCGAATCACGGCTAAAAAGGCTTTAATATGAAATATTACTCAACCCAGTGATTATTTTTGGTGCCTGATTTTGCGTATAAAAAAATTGAAGCTCTCGAATAGAAGGTCATCCCCTATTTTACACTTGCCAGTAGCTAGTGTTTTAGCGCGAATCTTCTTTTTTTCTAACCTAACTCGCAAATAAAATTGTTCTTTGAAAGTGAAAAGTGTTCACTTATTTGGTGGCTCTTTTGCTATAATCACATCACGATCAAGCACTGGAATTTTTTCAGCATCTGTTCTCTACTTTATTTGTGGCTAGTGTTTGTGATGTATTAAGCATGCGTGGCTGAGTGGTTAGTGCTCGAGAATCATAATACCTAGGTGGCTGTTTGTCTCGCCTGATGTCCGATTTCTGCAAAAGATTGAGTACTTGAGTAGACGCCCATTGCGCCGAAAACAAAATTGCTGTAAAAGTATTGTTGTCATAAAACCGGAAGACCCCCACCTCATTTCTCTTACCCACTAGCCCTGCTGAAACGTATAAAAGCATAAAGCTCTCTTTCTTATCTTGAAACCACTAAATATAAGATGTCTCAGACAATATAAATAAGCTGAAGCCATTTTAGCGAAAAAAATTAAAATTATTCCAAATCAGAGTTGATTAATGTACAAATTACAGAACGACTTTAAATCATAGTAAAGTTAGTTTGAATCAGAAGAAAATCCCATGCTTTAGAGCGGACAAAAAATAAGTAGACAAATGATAGTCTAACTATTGAAGTATTCCCAGAAAAAAATCATGTTTCTTGCAATTGAAATAAGGTTTTGAAGTTAATTGAGTTAAAATATGCTAAATAGGTCTTTTGAACTGCCAAATATGTCCTTTAAAGTGACCAGGCAACTTCAGGCTCATAATGTCCAAATTTACTTCTGAAATGCAGGTTCCAAAAACCGATAGAATTCTTTTCATGCTATTTTTACGCGTTCAGACATCTGGTCTGCCGGCTGTGTGATGGCGGAACTGCTGCTGGGCCAGCCGATCTTCCCGGGTGACAGTGGAGTGGATCAGCTGGTGGAGATCATCAAGGTGCTGGGAACTCCCTCCAAGGACCAGATCAAAGATATGAATCCCAACTACAACGACTTCAAGTTCCCACAGATCAAGGCTCATCCCTGGAACAAAGTGAGAATAACTTAGTTAGAAGTATGGAGAATATATAGCCATTTCGAGAACCTAAAAGATTGATTTCAGTTGGAGGATTAGTAAGTAATATTAATAGTGTTATCAGGGAAAAAAAACCCTGTTTTTGGTTACGCGAAAAAGATCCTGTTTTTAATGAAAGCAACGCAATGATTTTTTGTAGGTGTTTTCACAAAAAGTGCCCGAGGGAGCAATAAGGTTAACAAATCGACTGCTCGAGTACAGTCCCGGAACTCGGCTGAAGCCAATGCAGGCATGCGCACACAACTTCTTCGACGAATTGAGACTACCCGGCCAGAAGCTGTCCAATGGCAATCCCCTCCCTCCCCTCTTCAACTTCACGCAGCTAGGTGGGTAGCTTTGGGGCTCATTAGAATCGAAATGCTTAGTTCATGCACCAAAGGTAATTTACCGTTTAGTGTTCTTAGCAAACAAAAAAAAGGTAAATTACATTAAGTTGTAATAAATTAAACATAGTCACATAAGAACAAGGATTGCCGTTTATTGTGCAAATAGCACAGAATGTTCCGACCACATTTTTTAAAATAATGAGTGTTGTTTTTTTTCTGTGTGGCGCGGTAAAAAGATCTGAAAGAAAAAATAGAAATAAGGCATATTCGAATTGCATAGTCAAATAGGATAATTGGAAAACAGTTTCATAGAAAAATGACTAGCAACACAAAAAAAATCCAAAAACTAACTTACTCAGGTAAACAAAGTTTTAGCGGTTTATATTAAAATTGAATAAGCTATTGTAAGCCTGCACGCTTACCTTATCAGCTCGAAATTAGACCAAAATTAAAGAAAATTTTAACCGGTTTTTCTCGACACAGATAATTTTTGGAATCACGACTAAAAGGGCTTTAATATGATACATAACTGGAACCAATTCGATAATTATTTGTGGTTCCTAGTTTTGCATGGAAAACAAAGAAAAAACTAATTCACCCGAATACAAAGTTCCTCCACATTTTTGAAACGGTCGGAACACTAAGAATAAATTACATGTAAGGGTATAAACTGTAAAGTTTGTGGTATCAAGTGCTCTAAGTGAATCAAATGCAGCTCTTGCTGGTAATAAAAAGTACTTTTATCTTCTTATTCCATTCATCAAGAAAAAATTCCGGAAATTGTGTCTTTAAGTTTGATTCGGGTCACTCTCACTGCCCTGGGACCGAACGCCTGCAATTTTTGCTTCAACTTACATCAATCTACTTCCCTAACAGCCCAAAACTTTAACCGTCATGCTTATTCTTCTGAAATTTTGTATTCTGATTGCGTTTCATAATTTTTGAAGACTTTTGTCCCGTTTGATTGCGATGAAAATACTCAATAGAGTAAATAAGCCAGTTGACACAATATTAGATTGATCAATTAAAAAATTAGTGCGCAGTTTGGCACCACCAAAAACTTTCTTTAAAAACTGTCAAGTATATATGATAATAGTACGAAATCATAATTTTTTCAGAGATCTCATCGCTTCCGAGTGACGTCGACCAGAAGAGTCTGCAACCCCAAACAGATCAAGGTCAACAGGCCACAGGGGGTGCATCCAATTCATCATCTGACGTCTCGAAGACACCGACAACATCTACAGCCCAGCTACCAACTGTTAAAGAGGGAACATCATCAGGAGCTGCAGCAGCAGCATCTGCTTCAAACTCATCATCGGCAGCAGCTGGCGCTAATCAGCCCCCTCTAACGGTGTCATCAACAGCTTGAAAGGAAAAGATTGCAAATTAGAAGCTCCGGTATTTTCTGCTGGACCGGAACAGCTGGCATCTTGAGGAGCTACAGAATCCGAATGCACACTTAATACATTTAACAATGGATTTCTTGAATTAACCCAGAGAAAGACCATTAGTCGCTCCAGACGAATGTCAGAAGAATCTTGACAAATGATCATTTCAAAAAATTCTGAATGGATTGATGTATTGAATCGAACCTATTTTCCTGTGTTTGTTTTTACGGCAAATGTTGTAATTCGAATTCAAATTACTGTACAGTTAGTTTAGACAATGCCGCCGTCATTGGCAAAATAAATTGACTTCAAATTATATGAATTCTGTTTTAAACCGTTGTTTTTTTTTCATTTTTTGGGTCTCGTTCAAAATTGCAATGAAGTTTGCTGGTGCTGAGCGCAAAGCGTGCTTCTTCGTTCTCTTGTCACTTGCGAAATTTAAAAACAAACCTAGAATTAATTCAAATCATGTTGTTGTATCGTGTAGTTCTCTGAATGTCTATCTATATAAACCCTCTTAACCCTTCTACTGGGCTTATTTGGCCTGACGTTTAAATGTGAGTCCACCCAACGCAACCAAATGATGCGAACATCAAAATGTTATCGTACAAAACTGCTGGTTTTCTTCACACAATTTATGACCTGATAATTATAACCAGCCACTCAAGATTTAAATAAAATGGGAAGTTATTTTAGAAATATATATATAGAAAATTGTGAAGAGAGCAAGTTAGTTGTTATAAAACTTGTTTTTTTTCTCCTTTTTTATGTCATGCTAATAGATATGATATGTAAACGATAGCTTTTGAGACATTTTATAATCCAGTTTGATCAAATCAATTTTAGATTCGGGTTCTTTCTGATATCATCGTTCGTTGGTGTGACAAAGTAATCGAATTAGTGTAAATAGCTGCAATTATTGAATCCTGAATTTAATAAAGTAATAAATTTGAACAGTGAATTCCATGTGAAGTTACTATGTTTTCATGATAACCAAACAGTATATATTAAATTCACTGTTTAATTTAGAATCTAACATGGTAGAAAAAGCGAAATGACAAACGATAAATTATCATAGTTGCATCTTAGAAGCTCAATTAAAACTTTTGTCATTTCGTAATTAGAATAATTAGAATGTTTTGCCTTGCTTTTCTTTAAAAAAAAGAATGTTCAATTTCAGTTTTTCCAAGATAGTACAAAAATTGGGCGAGGTCAACAAGTGCATCAAGGGCATTTGAGGGAGTGGATCAAACCGTAGCTCTTCTGGATACTAAAAACAATTTTAGTAGCTAATTAATTTTTCTGCGTCCTAGAAAAATAGCAAAAGATGGGTTCGATTTTTGGAACTTTTTTCAGTCAAATAAAGATTTTTGGTTTTTTATTGAATCAATTGTTGATTGATACAAATAATAGTTTAACAATAATTTTTTACCCGGTTGAAGATATCGAAACCCTAAGTTCGAATTGAAAATGTATTTTATATCGGATTTTTGTAAAGTTCTGGGAATTAGAAAATTGCTCAACTTCATGCTGAACTAATCTACCTCGCGTGGGTTATCTTTAATGACATCTTCTGGCTATGATCACGATCTGTACCATTGGAAATTTCATAATATATGTGTTTTCTGCTTTATTTGTGGTAGTGTTTGTGATTAATTGAAGGTCCGTGTCAGGGTGGCTAGTGCTTGAGGCTCAAAATATCTAGGTCGCAGATATAATCCGAGACGTTGCCGAATTTTTACTAATTCGAGGCTGATTTCTACTTTTCTTATCGCATTTTATAGAGCTGTTTTTTGTCGTGTTCTTGCTAGTGTTTTCGACTTCGCCTGTAAAACTATCTGATCTTAAACTATATGATATAGTTGTATCTAAAAGCATATTGAATTGGATTGCTAAATGATTTTATGAATTAGTTGTTGCTAAAAAATAAATTCAACAATTTTTCAAAAAGTGTATTTTTTACCTAGCTATATCAGACTCTTATATATGTCGCGCTGATTTTTTTTGTTTTTTTCCAGCAAAATTCTAAAATTTGTTCAGGAAAGGAATTCAATTTTCAGATTTCCCTGCGAAATAAAATTTTTACCTATCGATCTAATTTTTTCAAACTCAGTTGCTTGTAGCAAAAAGTGTCCATCATACAGTGTTTTTGAAATTCAAAGGGTCATCTATTTTCTCTTTGAATTTCGAAAGTTGAGATTTTTCAAAAAACAAGACATTTTTTTTTGTTTTCTTGCGTTCATTGACTCTTCGAACTGTATGTTGGCTTAGTTTTTATTTCTAGGCCGGGGCTAAAAAAGGTATGATTTTTTGTAATATGAACCTTGAGATTTAGTTGTGTTGAATTAGTGATGGCCCATACCAATTCTTGCAGGTCACTAATTTTCAAAATGTGTTATTACTAAAAACAAAGATTTGATTTTCCTAAGTTTTGAGGGAAAAGTACTGAGCATTTAATAACTTGCGAGCTGATTTATAAGAAAACCGTTGGTTGAGACTAGAAAGTTTACGAATCATTTAATGTCATTTCAATGATAAGGAAATTTCCTTTATTTAAAGAGAGAGTTTTTTTGAAACTGTTTTTTGTTCATCTGTGGCGATCGGAGGACTTGAAAGGGCGGTAATAATTTCAACAATATTTTTACGGCAAGTGTTTTCAATTAACTGGAATAACTGAACACTAGGAATGAACCAAATTATACACTTAAAGACACGAACCAAAGCTTTACACCATTTGTGATACAACACAATCATAGCGACTCCAGTTTGAGTTTATGTCTGCTAGTTCGTGATAAAGGTTTGTGATAAAGGAGTTGAAAAGGGCTTGAAATATCGTGAAAAGCTAGATCGACCAATAGTTTCTTGAATAAGAAAAAGGAAAATAAAATTGTATTTACAAAACGGTTACGAAGCCGACTATCCCTTGAGGTAAATAAAGTTTTGAACAGCCAATTTTTGAGTGCCAAGAAGCTGTGTATTTTAAATGTTTGAAAAACAATAACTTATGCCCTCAATGACACAACCAAAAGAAACTTGTTTCGAATATCTCATTGCGCAAATTGAGGCCACTCTGATTCTGTTGGACGAAGTGTTCACGTGAGAAAAAGTATGTTCCGAAATGATAACGCTTGGTAATTGCGAGCATATTTATCGCTTGCGTAATTATTTTGACAAAAAATTGACGGAGTTAAAAATTTTCATAAAAGTAATAGTAAAATTAAAACAAATTTATTAAAACATTTGAAAAAAAATGAATTAAGTTTTTCAAAAAAAAAACAAATTTTAATTTTCTCAAAAAAGCTTGAAACTCCTTCACTAATGATTATTCAGAGAGGGCATTCAGATTATTAAAAAAGCTTAACTTTCAAATAAAAGTTGGGCTACCGGCACTAAGCCGACAAAAAAACATACGGACGACGCCGATTTTATTGTCTGCAAAAAAAAGAAGTCACACACAAGCAGGTGGTTGATTGTTGAGTGAAATTCACTTAATCATAGCCGAAATGAAACAATTTGAACAATTTCACGTGCTTAAATTTTGTCATAAGCGGGCGAGGAAACTTTTGCCATGAGAAATAACTGATTAATCCAGCTGGAGATGTAAGAAAAGACCGTGTAAAGCGTCTGTTGCCATCATAGCAGATGAAATAGTAAACACATCTGGAGAACATGGTCACGAAACTATTCCAAGCAAGCAAGAATTAAGAAAAGTGAGTAAAATATTCAAAAATTTTGACATTTAAACTTTCAAAATTTGGAATTTTCTAATTTTAATTTGTTTTCAAACGTTAAATTAGCATGACTGCAAGGCGTACGTTTCTGAGGGGGGGGGGGGGGGGGGAATGATCACGTTTAGTAGAAAAAATTTTAGCCCCTCAAACAGGTCAACTTTTGTAATATTTGGGGTGTCAAACATTTTTCTTGGCCTGTTGGTCATACTATTAAAAAAAGTTTAAAAAAATTAAAATCAACCATCCTAAAGAAAATCTTAGATCTTCTTCTGGTAGAAATAAACATGCAGCGCATGCTTTTTCCTTGTCAATTTTCCTCATCCCAAATATTGTAATCAGGGGCGCATATAAAGGGGGGGATGTGCGCTTTGGCTGATATTTTTATACTTTCTTATTTTCTATTTTCATTTTGGACATGATACAGTGATCGGAGCTGTGTTGTAATAATTGCACGACGATCGGGTAGCTTTTTAGTTTTGAGCGCTTTTTTTATTTTTGAAAAATCAATTCTTCAAACTTAATGATCGATCTTCAACTTTTTAGTTTCCGAAAAGGTCATGTAAAAGATCGCCTCAATGTCAACGGAAAACTGTTCGATAAACTGGCGGAAAGTTACGATAACTAACCGGGGTCTTCTGGGAGACTAATATCCCTCATTAATTGCTTAGCTCTGTGTTAAACAGGATGTTTTGTCTGAGCGCACAAACATTTCTAAGCAAGAAATGCAATAATTAAGATAAGATAAGTCTGCAGCTGAAACTAGAGTTGGCGAAGTTTAAGTACTGACTTGTTCAAATTAACTTAAAAAATTGATGTTTTTTCTGTCCTGCTAATGTTCAATTGCGCCTCAAATTCACCTACAAATTTAACAATTTTATAAACTCAGTTACGTAATCTACAGTAGGTATTTTTCAAAAGAGCAATTTTTCATCGGCGGCAATCCAGTAGTGTGACACAATGCTTTAAATATCAGAGCTGCTTTCCAAAAAAAAAGATCTCGGGTTGACCTCCATAAGAGCATAATGCTTGTTATACAGTTTGTTTTGATGACATAGAGGATTTCTGGCCGTTAAAATATGTTAATTTTCTATTTGGATGAAAATTGGTTGTCATGCAACTTCCTTACTACACAAGCAAAGCTTGTGTTATAGTATGAACTCTTTTTCCAACCTAAGTCGCAAATATTGTTGCGACACAAATATTGTTGCGACAAAATTTGTTCAATTTGACTGTGTTCATTTTGATTAATAACCTACTATTAAATCACAAATAGCACTTTAGCTTCACTGTATCATGGATCTGTAGCGTAGAGTTAGGGAAGGAGCCCCGCAACAGATTAAGAGGGTTCGAACATAGGCAGGATCGGATGTTTTTAATGAACTTTTCCATATACTAGTTAAAATGCTTCCGCTCTATAAATTGAGACATGCTTGTTGGTAAAGATTTTTTTTTCAAATTGACTGGTACTGCTAATGTGTAATAATTGGCTTGCATCACTTAGCAATTAAATAGACTCATAATTGGCGGGTGTCACTTGAGAATTTTTATAGACTCAAAGTTTTACTCATTCAGTTTTTTTCAGTAGCGTTATCGGTCATATTTTTGTTTTTGTATGAGCAGTGCAACTTCGCTTCTGTGTATAAAAACTGCGATGAACTGTTTCTTCAAACTCGAAAAAATTTTCATAAATCGGGTTTTAACAAGTATGATTACTTTGAAAAAAACCTAACGCAGTTTTTCATTAAGTGCCAACACTTTGATCATCAAAAATATAGTTTTGTTGAAAAAAACGCTATTTTTGCAATTTCTATAAATCAAAGGTTTTGTGAAAATTTTTCCTATAAGTTATCAACTTGACATCAAGCTACAGATTTTTAAACCTACAAAAAAGTTTATTGCTGAAATATTGTTTAAAAAAGTTTTTTGTAGTTTATCTATTGTTTTCACTTCTAATCAGCAAAAAAAAATGGAGATGAAAAGAAAATACAATGGAAAGAAAATTTCATTACGATAAAAAAAATCAGAACTGATCTGGTGGTATAACATATTTAAGCCACTCTAGTCATGATTTAAGAACTACTCAAGAACTTTTTTTGGTATCGAGAAGAATCGGTTGGAAAGTTTAACTTGCTAGCTTAATTTCGAACATTTTGAGCAAGTAAAACGAGTTATTAGGTGTTATGATAAGAAACTTCTTTCAGAACTTCTTGATAATAATTTTTAAAAACCCAATAGATTTTTCTGCAAAATACTTGAAAAATTTGAGATTTTTTTTTCGTTTTTCTAAATTTTTTGTTTTTCAATCCATTTTATGATAATAACTCTAATTGAGTGTGCCTAATGGATTGATGGCCCAAAGACTCATTTTGTTTTGCTTTGTATTTTTTGAAAATTATGATTTTTTTATTAATGTGATTTTGCACAGCGAAGGTTATCCGTGTTTTCACATGGTAGAATAAAATCAAATATGTCAAAAAAAACAGGCCACAATTTTCAAACTCAGAAGCCGGGAGTGGTCTATTCAGTTTTTTTTCTTGTATTTTTGTGTGAAGTGCTGTCCTACAACCAATATGGCAAATCTAAGATGCAAATTATTGTCAAAATTTTCATTCCACATCAAAACATGGCCAAATGTGTTTTAGATGTGTACGACGTAGTAATTTAAGTTGCATATAAAAAACACCCGCTTTCAGCGTTTAAAACAAAAAACTTTTTCCAAACTTTCCAGGAAGCTGAAAGCAGTTTTTCTTACAATATCTGGATTTTGGATTGTGCACAGCCCTGACATGGTTGCACGAGGTTTTTAGTCTCCAGAGCTGAGGAGTATCCCTGAGGAAAAAACCAAATAGAGCGTTGAAACTCTACTTTTCCTGTGTTGAAACTCTATATCTTATCAGTTCAGAGGCTGGCATGCCATTGAGTTTGAGGGAGGGGGTTTTGTTAGTCCTATAAATTTAAAACGCCATAGGTCGCTTCTCTGAGAATCGATTTTAATAGCTAAAAAAACTAATCGCTTAATTACATTGTATGCAAAAATTGGGGGACGATCTTCTACCAGACCGACATTTTACAAGAAAAGTTAAAACATGGACTTTTGACCAGACTCGGGATAAACAAAATTGATTGACAGATGCAATGACCCCGTTTAATGGTTTTCAGCGAATTTTTGTTTGTCCTAACCGCTTCCTTTTGGAGTCTTCCGCTAGTTTTAATTTAAACTTAACTGAATTATTGCATTGAATTATTGCTTAACTGACAAACATTGTACTGAATTATTGCTGGTAAAAGGTCGGTCTGGTCAAAGAGCTAGACCCGCAAAGACTGCTAGTCACACAGTTTCACATTGCGAAAAAATGCTAGTCACACAATTTCCTACGGGGAAAAAAAGCTAGTCATAAAGTTATCAGTCAGTTTTCTGGACGTGTGAAATGGTAGTTTCACAAGTTTAATTTTGTATGACTACGCGGGCAGTAATTGATGCTCATTTGGCCAATTTAGACATTTCAATAAACATTTGGGTTGTAATTTGTTGTTTGAATCTCGGTTTTCATTCAATTTGCCTGCTGACTATGACACAACGTCCCAATTTTTTTTGCCACATGACCTTAATCAACATCATCAAAAGCTTAGTCAAGATCAAAAAATAGTGAATAATTACGAAACAAAAAGCAAAGTTAAACTCTAATTTATTGGGCAATAAAACTTTAATTTCCTTAGTCGCACTGAACAGTTGCCGCCTTTCAGTTTCAGATGAAAGAAATTACAAATTAGGAATTCCAGAGCGGAAATTTTGCTTCCTTGCGCGGTCAGTCACTAGACTTTAGATAATAAATAAAAAGGATTTGATTTTTTTTTCATCAAACGTGAAGTACCAATTTACGTACGAGTTATCCGTCCAAAACCAAAAATAAATTACAAATATATACTTTTATTTTTATTTTTAAACATCTTTCTGATTTGATAGTTTTCGGTAAAAGTTAGACTTTTTATGGTTAAATGTGGGAGCCAGTGACTTAAATTAACTCTTGTCTTCAAATAACACTCTGCTCATTACGTTTCCAACCTCAAGAATGTTACAATTTTCGGGCCAAATAAAAGATCTTTGCTAACGAATTGTTTTTAAATTAGATTACCCAACTGCGAATAAACTCACTTGCTTTCTTTTCTTTTTGTTTTCATTTGAGATTTGTCTTGGAAAGTAATCCTTAAAAAATGAGCCTTTCAATTTTTTACATCATGTTAATACAATTAGCACTGTCAACTTCAAATGGTAAGTTTTTCAGACGTACTCATTCTAAAACTTTGAACGGATAGTGAAAACTGTAAAAATCCGTTTTTATAGCTTTAAAACGCGTATTTTGTATAATAACATGATAAAATAAAAACGGAAACTAAGCTAAAGTTTCAGCTGAGATTGAAGCTTAAATTTTAAGCCAATGACAAGTTTTGTGGGGGTTAAGAGCTTTGAATTCGATCGCTTTCGATAGGCAATGTTTTTAAGATTTTTTCTGCTTTCGAAATTTTTACGAGATAAAATAGCTGGTAGAAAGCTCAGAACTTAAACTGCAAAAAAGGCAATATGCTTGAAATTTTCTAGCTACTAGTAATTTTTTATTCCGCACTAGATATACACAGTGCTAATTTAAATTGTCCTGACGAAAAGCATAAAACTTGAAATTTAAAACGCATTTTTCTCAAATTGGGTTGACATAGGGGGAACAAAGCAGGCAAAACTTGCATAAAATTTCAGCAGAATTAATATGGCGCATTTGTTTTGCGAGCAGCCCAACATTTTACCAAGAAAACGTATCATCTTTTGCATTAACAGTCAGTCAAAAATTACACTACAACAAGTGTTAATTTTGTTGTCTTGAAAAAATTGCGCAAAAAATTTCAAAATTGTTCTTAAACAAAATAATAGTGTCTTGAAGAGGAAACATGACATTTTTTGACTTTAAAACAAAAATAAACTTGAAAAAAAAAAAACGTTTTTTTTGAAAAAATTTATTTGTTTCATTCGTATAATTAAAATCAAAGCTCTATCTATACTAAATAAAGACTATTTTCAATCGTATTCCTTTTCTCTTAGATTTGTAATTTTATGCTGTAAAGTATACCAAATTATGGCACTCTTGTATCGAGATTTGATATCTCTTATTTGTTTCGACTATTGAAAATGGAATATTTGTTCCAACCATTGAAAATGGAGGAAAGTTTTCTTTGCGGGTGTTGATGGTTTTTTTTCGTTTCCTCACAAAATAAGGTACCACAAAAAATCATCAGATTAGTTTGAGTGATATATCAATTTGAAGCACTTTCAGTCGTGATTCGGACGACATTTAAAACTTTTCCTAGTATTGAAAAAAAAAACGAGCGAATAAAGGGAGTAAGTAATTTCGAGCAAATAACGCGAGCGAGGCAAGCAGGCTTAAACTTAGACTTTGAAGTTTTTAGCGCCATCTTTTGTATCAGAAATTTTAAAACATTCAAAAAAAATCTGCAAAAAAGTTTCAAAAAAGTTTAAAAAGTTTTATTTTTGATTGTTTGTTTTTCTAAAAAAAATTTCTACAAGCTTTGATTCAATTTGTTTTTTTTTTGGTTCAATTATCGAAAATGCCTGAATTCTAGTTTCACGTCAGATCTTTTTATCACACCACGCAGAAAAAATTGCGCTGCTTTAAAATAAGAAAATTTTGCTCCGATCATTTGAAAAATGAGGAGGAACTTTGTTTTCGATTGTCTTTCGTTTTTTTTTTGTTTTCAAAATGAAATCATGTACAACAAATAATTATCGAATGACTCAAATGGTATATCATATTCAATCCATTTCAATTGTGATTCGAAAGAATTTAAAACCTTCTGAAAAAACTGTCCCTCTGTTGAGAAAAACCATTAAGAAATTTTCCATTTTTACTCTAATTTTGAGCGAGTAAAGTGAGAGAGCAGGCTTATTTTGATTTTCAACCAAAAAATTCACCACAAATAATCATCGGAATGGGCCGAGTGATATATCATGTTGAAGTCCTTTGAAACTTGATTCGAACGACAATAAAAAGTTGTCGAAAGGTTGTCCAGGTGTCAAGGAAAACCGGTTTGAAATTTTGTGAGGGTTTTAGCTGAATTCGAGCGATTAAAGCAAGCGAGCAAAAAAAATTATTTTTTTTTCTTGTAATTTTTCGACAAAAACCGTCGCTCGATTTGCCTATTTTACAGTGAATTTAGATACAGTCGAGCGTATCTAAATTTTAGGTTTTCTTCAAATCATTTCATCACACCATGCACAAAACAACAAAATTTATTAAAAAAACATGAAAAAATGTTTTTATAATTTTTTAAGAATATGGTCGGAACATTGAGTGCTACCTGCACAGCAAACAGTTATCCTTGTTTTTTTTGTATTTTTAAAAAACTATGGTCGGAACATTCTGCGCTACTTGCACTGTAACAAGCTATCCTTGTTTATACCTAGCGTTGTTGATCTTAAGGAAATAACAAAAGATCAAGTTTCTATATTGGTCATAGGGTTCGCACGAACCTATCTCACCGAAAACAGAAAGCGTAACGAGCACGCGTTGTATTGAAACAGAATCGTTTCCATGAGATAGATTACATACACCTTATTCTACTTGGTGCAACAAAAACAGACTCGAAAAGACCTTGATAAAACTATATTCAATTTCGAAGAAAAAATGCAATAATTCACTTTTGAGAAAAACAAAATTACACAAAGAAATTCGCTGTTTGTGTCTTTCTAATTGAAAAAGAGACAAACTAACAGGTTACTCAGAACGAAAAGGTTTTTTTTTAGAATTTTCAAAAATCAGCTAATGTTACAAAAATTTCAGTGTAAATTTTGGTTTAATGAACTTGAAAATCTTTTGGAATAATATTTAAAATTTATTTCTTATATGTTAACTATTTTCCAACTCATATTATCTAACAAGCGAAAATCAAGATCCAGGATCCGAGACACACTTTAACAAGGATACTTTTTGAGACATCCAATTTTGGCTGACCGACCTTAAAATTTTTCTAAAGACGCTTTCGTCGGCAGTGTATACTATTTTTGAGAGGAGCTCGCACTGAAAAGCGCAGTTTCAAAAATTGTCTATAAACGTCGTTTTTGGCCTTTTTTCCAATTTACTTTCGGTGCAGAAAATTTGATTAAAATAGTGTTTTTATAGTGAGCTGGGCGAGCTCGGAAAAACAATTTAGTCAACCTACAAAAAAAAAATTGGACGAAAGTTTTAATTTTTGTTAAAAATGTCGCTTTGAGACCCGGCACTAACTAATTTTTCCTATTGATTTTAATTGAATTGAATTAAACTTAATTAGATGATGTATGAAAATGTGTAAAAACGTTATCAAACTTCATTTACCTTTCAATAACACATTTCAAGGACTTACAAAAGCTGTTCAGCTTGTTGAGGCATGCACTGGTAGTCTTTTACACAAATTGCGAAAAGATATCTACTAAGAGTGCAATCACAAAAAAAATTCAAGAGTAAATTACTGTTTTTGATGAAAATTGAGTAAAAACTATTATAGAACAGGTCCAGTTGATATTCTGGAAACTGTTTTAAATTATCAGGATTGAGTTGATTCGAACTGAAAAAACTGAAAATTTTTAATGAAATACTTCGCCAAGATTGATGCACATTAAGAGTACGAGACAGAATTCAAGGTAGAATTGTCAGAAAATTGACGCGCGTTACCCCTCCTTGTAATAAAAGATTGAGGATTAAAAGTGTTAGATGGGTTCTTGCCTATAAGTGTATAAACCGTTTCATTAAACAGTTGTCAAAAAACAAATCAAACACAGAGTCAGTTTCAGATGTCTCAAGAAAAATTTCGGTTGAAGTAATTTTTTCAATGATTCGTATGTGCATTAAATGAATTCGATTAAGAAAAGTTTTCGATGTTGCAATATAGGATATAAGTCCGTATGAAAACAAGGGTTTAGCATGTACGTTGAACAATGTGATTAAAATAATTTCGGAAACCCATTTCTTGGTCTAAGTAACCTCCCGTTGATTTTTGATTATTTTTCATCTTTTTGTCAATCTGATGGTCAAAGTTTTGTTTGTTTGCAACTCCACTCCAAAATTTTTTAAAAACAGATTCCTTTAAAAATGCAATTGCCGATTAGAAAGCTATGGTTGTCACAATCCCAATCGAACTTCATTATCCTGCTTTCTTATTCGGTAATTAGCTATTTGTTTTCAGTGCACCAATTCAATATTTTATTGAATTTAGCACCAACATTTACAGTAATTGGAAAAATTGTCAGCATCCACTAATGTTGTGTCATCCGCAAACAAACAACTGCTTCCGTAAATGAATGAAAGTAAATCGTTGATATAATTTTTTTAAAAAGAGAAATTCAAAAATCCGATACATGAGGAACCTTTTTATGCAATCAATTTTTTCTGAATTTTTCTCAGCTTAATACATATATTGTTGTCGAATTTTTAGATAACTTTCCATTAAGTCTAAAATTTTACCCATAAAACCATGCCTTTCCAATTTTTCATTTAAATTACTGCGGTCAATTGTATCAAACGCTTTCTTGAAATCAATGAATCAAAACTAGGCGAATTGTTGTTTGTCATTACTCTCCCTTATAAAATGAGTAATGCTAACAATTGCTTGTTTACAAGATCATTTATTTTTGAAACCGAATTGCTTATCATGAATAACTTTATAGGTGAATCAATATAAACGTTTAAACAAAAAGTTTTCGAAAACCCTCCCAATTGCGGATATTGAAGTTAATTGTCTATAATTGTCCGGATTGCTCTTCACACCATTTTAGCAATGGGAAATTTATGCAGTGGCCAAGCAGTGCCTGAAGCGCTGATTTAAAAAATTAAGCCAAGTTATAAGCTCAGACAGGTGCAGCTTACTTGAGCATTTGATTGGAGATCCTATCATGACAAACAGTTTTTTTGTTCAGATCTTTAGTGATGTGGAGTATTTCATTTTAATCAGTATCGATTAGAACAAAACAATAAATGTTCACTCTAAGTTTTGGTTTGAATGTCTGATGATCTGTACTTACAGTAAGTTTCTCGCGCACGGTCAAGAAGAGCTGACTGAATACATTCACGACGGAAGCTCTACCCAGCTCTTATGCAATCTGACTTGCTTATTCTGCAGGTTGTCGATTCTCCTGGTTAATCAAGATTTTTTCCTTAAGTTAGTTCTCAGAAATTTTTTGGGACAAAACAAACCGAATTGCTTTTAATGTGAAGACTGGTTAGTTTCAAT